AACCAGGCCTGATATCACCTAGCTTCAAAAAAATCAGACAGGATCAGGTGTTCAACGTGGCATTGTAGTGTCTCCTCACTCCTCTTTTTCCAATTCTCTCCCAGTTTCTTTAATTGACACTTCTCTCCTCCTTTGCTCCATCTGAATTTCTCAGTTATTTCCCTACATCTGTCACTCATGCTTAATTTCATCTAACAACATTTCATTACACTTCTCGTGATCAGTCTTTCCTCCATCCACTTGCACATTATAGTCCCCTTTAAATATTTTTGTGCTGACTACTAGGAATGCAGGACCTGTGGCAGTTTCTCCAGTTCATTCTGTGTGGTATCTAACTGCATGTCCACCAAGCAAAATAGATACCACTGGTGGAGTCCATCCCAACCCATGTTTGCAAATCTGCACCTTCACAAATCAGTTTTGGAGGCCTGAGGGACTTTGTAGCTTAGGCTTGGAGAAATGTGGGAGTTGCAGCAGAGAGAGGAAAGGGCTTCTCTCTGTACAACACAGGATAAGAATTTTGTTTTAATAGGAGCTCCTGTGAAACAGCCTTCTTCAGTATGGGAAGAAATATGCAACCTTAATACTACCAAGGAGAAACACCGTTGTGAGTCATTCCCAATAAATATACAGAGAATTGGGCTACAGGTATGATTAGTAGAACAAGAGAGTAATATTGGTCTTACTGGCCTACATTGGGGAATAAGTTGACAATTTGTCTGTCTGTCTGTCTGTCTGTCTGTCTGTCTGTCTGTCTGTCTGTCTGACTGACTGACTAACTAACTAACTAACTAACTAACTAACTAACTAACTAACTAACTAACTAACTTTTATACTGCCATATGGCTACCAAGGCCACTTTGGGCGGTTCACAGTGCGATAAAACAATACAAAACCAAAATTAAACATAACAACCCACATACAAAAGCAACATAAAACTAATTTAAAAAGGCAAGATGGTGGGACAGATGATAGAAGCACTGAAAAAGCCTCTGTGCTATGATGGTGTGATTGCTGGGAAAGCCTGTTTAAAGAGCCATGTTTTCAAGAATCATTTAAAAATTCCTAGTGAAGAAGCCAGGTGAATTTCAGGTAGGAGATGGTTCCAGAGGCAGGGGGTGACACTGAGAAGGCCAGGTTTCTGGTCTTCTTATCTTTCTGGGCCTCTCTTGAAGTCAGTGCTCTGAACTGCCTAGCCTGGGAAGACTGAGTAGGTCAGGCAGATCTCACTGGAAGGAGATCTCCCAAACCCTAGATTCTAATTTACCACCACCCTCTCTATTTCAAAGTGTAGAAGTTATTGATACTGGGTCACTTTTATGGAATGACAAAAGGTAAACTTCCAGTTACTGCTTTCTTGGATCTATTGCAGTTTACATCTCACTTTAAAATCCACATATCTTTAGCTTTACATTTGAATCAACGTTTGGCAACAAATCAACATAGTTGAACTTACATTGACACACACCACACTTTTCCACACTAAAACTTGTGTGTTTGACCTTCAGCCTTTCTGAGGAAGAAAAGGATGGTTACTTAGTCAGGTCTTAGTGGTTTAAATGGAGGGAAGTAATAAAACATGCTGGTTTTCTCTGCAACATTCACTGTCGTGTCCAACTCCGGGGGCCAGCGCTCACCCCGCTCTTCAAGCCATAGAGCCAGCATTTGTCCGAAGGCAATCTTTCCGTGGTCACATGGCCAGTGTGATTTAGACCCGGAATGCTGTTTAAATAGAAGAAAGTAATAAAACATGCTGGTTTTCTCTGCCACATTCACTGTCAACAGATTTCTTTCTGTTGAAAGTGATTCAACAGCTTTCTCGTTTGACATAGAATGGCTCCAATATTCAAGTGGCTCTCTCATTCACTTTGCCAGTCTCTGGAAAGGTTGCAAAAGGGTTTTTGTGTTACTTGTCAGTTAGAGGTGGACTGGCTTTCGCTGTCAGAGAATCAAATGTTTCTCTGAGATTGCCTGTGCTTTGATAGTTAGCATCTCAATTGACTCTAAAACTGAAAGACTTAGTTATTGAATCTTGTATCAAGCGTTTTGTATCCCTTCCATTTTTAGAAATACCGTCTGTAATATGAGCTAGGTGGATTCTAGTGTTTCACAAAAAAATCTCTCTTTTTTGTCTCATTCAGTCTCTGAGATTGCCTGTGCTTTGATAGTTAGCATCTCAATTGACTCTAAAACTGAAAGGCTTAGTTATTGAATCTTATATCAAGCTTTTTGTATCCCTCCCATTTTTAGAAATACCATCTGTAATATGAGCTAGGTGGATTCTCTGATGCCATTTATACTCTAGTGTTTCACAAAAAATCTCTCTTTTTTGTCTCATTCAGCACAGCACTTGGGGGCAAGCAAGAACACATGCTTAGCCAACACTGTTACCCAACTGTCCTTGCTAGTATAATAAATCTGGGGCCATACTGTTTCTTTCCATAATGGTAGAGCAAACTCTAGCACTGCATTAACAAATTTCAGCTTTTAAGTTTGCTTTGGCAGGATTAGTAGCCTTGATCCTTTTTCATTCCAAGGTTTAGGGGAAAGGGTTATTTTTGGTTTCATCTCTCTCCCCCCCCCCCTACTAATGGTTCATTTCCTTTCATTAAGTATGTAGGGGTCCTCTTAAGTCAACTGTAGTCTGAAGCCAGGATCTATATAGTCCTATGATTTTTTTTAAATATAAAAATTCATACAGTGACTTTGCCTTTAAGTTAGCCTTTCTGTCATTTTGGATCTGTAGCTTACTGCTCCTGTGAGATTTGAGTTACAGTCTTTGAACTGTATTGTCTGTGCTAGTCTCTGGTTAAAACCATTCACCCCATGAAACAATCCTCCCACTTGTTCTATACTCTTCCCAACGTGGGAAGTTTAAAGGACTTGATGTTGTGACTTTGCCTTTAAGTTAGCCTTTCTGTCATTTTGGATCTGTAGCTTACTGCTCCTGTGAGATTTGAGTTACAGTCTTTGAACTGTATTGTCTGTGCTAGTCTCTGGTTAAAACCATTCACCCCATGAAGCAATCCTCCCACTTGTTTCTATACTCTTCCCAATGTGGGAAGTTTAAATAAGATTAAAACAGGGCTTATGGTTCTGGAAACTCTTTCTTTTGAAAGCAAGATTGATCCAAGAAAAAAGAAAAGGCAGATAATCATAGCATTGGAATGGCTTTGAAAAAAAAATCTGTTTTCTTCCTCCAGATTGTCCATAGAGCAATGTTTCCTGTTTGTGCTTAACTGTTGTTTCACTTTTAATTATTATACCAAGCCATTACAGTTTGGGCCCAGCACTAATGGCATATACCTATCTTGCACCTTGCTAGTGTGTTTGCCCTAGGCCATGTGGAGGAGGTAGAAGGGCCTCTCCTCTGTAGCACTGCCCGGAAAAGAGGATGCTAGCAGATTGCTTGCTACTCTGAAGGTTTTCCTCTTTATTGCTCAGTCAGGATTGGTGAGTGAGCAGACTACCTCAGCTTTTACCTTGCTAGTGTGTTTGCCCTAGGCCATGTGGAGGAGGTAGAAGGGCCTCTCCTCTGTAGCACTGCCCAGAAAAGAGGATGATAGCAGATTGCTTGCTGCTCTGAAGGTTTTCCTCTTTATTGCTCATTCAGGATGGTGAGTGAGCAGAGTACCTCAGCTTTATAATTTTCTCAATCCATTTTCAAGCAGAATTGTAGGGTAACAGAGATTTCAAAAGCACACTTCTTTGATTCCCTCAAAGCAAGACCTTGGATTAGTGGCCTGAACACAGTTGGTAGTACCAGTTGAAGTAGACCTACTGCATAAATGGAATTTACATAAATATTTGATTCCCCATTCAAGGACAGATTCATTGGTATTCACCCTAGATTGGTATTAGCAGCTGGATAAAGGCTGTAGGGAAGTAAAGACTAGCTTCTGTTAATGCAGATAATTACATCTATTATATTTACGATAGAATTAAAATGTGTCCCATTCCATAATTTTTTTAAAAAAATAGCTGGAAAATGCTTCTTGTGCTGTCTAGAGGGCATGGGAGACAATTTAGCCATAGTTTGAGTGTCCCTTAACCCCCTCTCCCATGTTATTTTAAAAAGATATACTGTATTTCGGGTTACTAGAGTGTGTAAGGAGGCGCTTTCAGTAATTTCTATGTGATTTTTTCAATTTTATTTTGTGGCAGACTGTATGGCTCTACAGGATGCTGGGAAGACTTTCTGTGGCCCTTTGGACCTCTTGCTGACACCACTGTAAGATAACAGTATACACATTCATAATGAAGGAAACACATACCAAACTATATCCTGTATTCGTTATTGCTAAACAATTTACTCCAAAGAGAATGGCTTGAAACACCCATGTGTGTTTTGTATTGGATGTGTAGAAAAATATGTTTCTGCATTGTCAAATGATCATAAAAGGGATGCAGAACTACCACACCAATTGACAACATGCACTGGGTTGGTAGCAATAACTCCTCCTCATCACTATAGGCAACAATTTCTGAAGCTATCAAACAGTATTTTTATTGAATGAACTCTGTTGATTTAGTATTGAGATGAAGTGTTGTATCTAGTAAATTCAGTGAGCAAAATCTTGTTGCACCGTTTTGCTCTGACATAATCCAGATGGGGAATCAGAAGCACTTAATTTAAATTAATTCAAAGCTTTCAACACGTCCTTTTAGGGGTTTTTTTGGAGCTTCAGGACTGATGAGGGGAGCTTTTAATACTAAAAAAGGTTGAGGTTGCATTGCACAAATAGCACAACAGAATTGGTCCAATGGCACATTTTAAAATCTCAAGTGCTTTTTCTCATGAAATCATGGTGGTGTGAATGGATGGATGGAAGTGCTGCAAAGAAAATGAAGAACATAGTAGTATACATAATGTTTGGAAGAGAGTTATTTTGGATTAATTAACCATCATAAAGTAGTTGTGATCCTGCTGCATGATTGTTCCCCCAATTAAAATAATTGAAAAAGCAAATAAGAAGAAATCACAATTTTATAAAACGTCTTTAATTCACTCTTACTTTACATGAGTTTTTTTTAAAGCACCTTGTTAATTACTCTCGATCAAAAAATCAACAGGACTCATGAATAGTTTTCATTATGAAAATATGTCAAAGGCTTATGAACGTGCATATGAAGAGCAAAGTAAAAACAATACCAAAGCTATATCCTAACTATGGAATTGATTCAATCCATTTTGGCTTTGTCAGAACACAAAGCTTCCATTGCCACAGATCTAGACAACCACAGGGAAAGATGTGTATGCACACTGGAGGGTTTTTTTTTTCACAGTACCCAGTCATTTGGCCAACATTGTATGGGGGTAAGGGAGTGGCTGCCTGCTTAGCCATATGATGTTTGCAACTAAACATTTAAAAACACAAGCTAGCACTGCTGGGATAGAAAGTGAAAGGTTGTGTGTGCATCCTTACCCATGCTATGGCTGTCTAGATTGTGCCCACAACATTAAGAGAAATACAGTTATTTACTTAATTGAACCTTGATTGCTTGAGCCATGTTTCAAGCATTAGTTGTAACATTAACATTTTTTTTTTCTTTTTAAACATCCAAGTTCCAACATGAAGTTATTCTCAACATTGAAGTCCAAAGAAAGGCCATGTACATGTGCAATTTCTAGAGGATTCATATTATTAAAATGGAGGGGGTAAATCCCTCTGCATTTTGAGAACAGATGGTCTGAGTTTGGTCTTCTGTAACCAAGTCATTAATCTCATTCATTACCATGTACACAACAATATGATACCAATGTTTTCTGGTCTACCCATAAAAATTCTTTCTTTCTCTCTCTACTTACACAAAAACATACAAAAAATAATCTACAAAATCATTTACACTTGATTTCAGTAACAACAAAAAGAGGTTTCCAAGATAAAATGTTTTTTTTTGTTCAGCCATCATAAAAGGAATGCCAGTAAACAATAAATACAGTGTGCTTTTTTTTCTTCATATAGACATATTTACACTTGAGTCTTTGGCTTATGTTTAAATTTTTTTTATAAAGAACTTTGATCAGGCCATCATTGCACATCAAAACAAAATAAGCCAGTTATCATATATGTATATCTATTTATATTTTTCTTCTTGCAACACATGAAACCCATAGAGACTATCCATCTGCACAGTTTTGTTTTACTGTTAACAGTTTATCAAATTATGGATGAAGAAAATAAAATGTTGACTAGAAATAGATACATGCAACAGATGGTGGCTCTTAGTGTAGCCAAGAGACAGACAGCTGAATATACAAACACTGAAAAGTCCTACCTCGAACAGCAGCTGTGTGCTGCCTCGGCTCTTCTTTATTTTTGTGGCACTATATGTTCATTCTGTGTACAGGCATAGAAACTGTTCTTTATATTTATATATATATATATGTATATATATAACTAAGATACACCATTTATTAAGAAAAATACTTCTGCATTTAAAAAGTAAGTCTTCCCTTCACTGAAATTTTTCTTCATAGGTTCAAGAGCAGATGCCAGAACACAGTTTATGAAGCTTCATATTATTTGGTTCACTCGAGTGCCTCCATCCTTTCTCACTAAGATGACTCAGTGTATTCCAATGCAACATCATAGCAGAAACGATATTGTTCCTAGTGTGGAAAAAGCAGATAATCAGATTGCAGGTTTGTTTAAAATGAGAAGAGTATTGGCATTAATTTCTAAATAGACAGTTTCATGTTTTAGTGAAGTTTAAGCCACAGCTAACAATACATTCCAAAGAACTGCACACATACATGGACAGTTCTTTGGAATTTATTGTTAGCTGTGGCTTAAACCTCACTAAAACGTGAGACAGTCTAATGTTCTCTATTGCTATTTATTTGCCCGTTATTTTTACCTGCTGCTTCATTAGTTACAACATGAACATTATTGACTGTCAATAAAGAATTGCATCTCTCGTCTAAGAACTTAGATTTTACATAGTGGTTAGGAGTAGTTGTAGTAATAACATTACATAGTTGTTTATTGTATCTAGTTGTTAACAATCATCAGTATCTTAGTATTAGAGCAAGTGGCCACTGCTCTGCTGTGCTCAGCTGAATAAAACCCATTGCCAGCTCTTGCATTCAGATGAAATTTGGTAAGCCAAGTAGATACAACATTGAATTTCAATGAATTGATAAGCAAGAATGTATAATCTTGCAGCTTCCCTCTGTAGAGTTGTGTATTCCAATAAATACATTTTTATCTCAAGGCCTGGAGACAAAAGAGATTCGATGCCTCACTGTGCTTAAGGATTATAGACTCCTCCTCCTCCAAATAGGAAAAAAAAACTTGTGTAACTCTCTATCCCACCCCATACTGTCTCCAAGTCTAGAAATGAACATTGTACAATTGTTCACAGGAAGTGGGAGCAGCTTTCTGAAAGGTTTCATTGTTCTTTTCATTTTGGTTATCTGATCATCTTGGTGAATGTAGGACAGGTAACAGTAATACATTGGTTTTCTTGGCTCACTTCCTCACCCAGCTGAACAGCTGCTGTGTGCTTAAGTTCAAGAGAGTTCACCCACATTAGGGGTGGCACTAAAAAACAAAGGCCAACTACTGCAATTGCAGCTTTTTGCTTCTTAGATTATGTTAAAGAATAAATTGATAGTATTATGAATTTGATAGCACTGGCACTCTGTACCCAGTAAAAGAGGCACTTCTAGAGAAAAAAAAGTTTATAAATTACAATGTACTGTATATGTTCTGAAATGCTTTAATTGCAAAGGGAATAAAGGAAGAGATACAGCTTCAAATCATGACAGGGTGCTCCTAGAGGATAATTTTGAAAAGAAAGTGCAGGATGGAACTGCAAAGTGTGTGTGTGTGTGTGTGTGTTATTAAGAGGGATGGAAATCAAGGGAGAACATTGTTTTTTCCTTTTGTTTGTTTCTAAGACAGGGTTTGCAAGCCTGAGCCCTCCAGATGTTGACAGTCTGCAACTCTTGACTGTCAATCATGCTGACTGGGACTAATGGAAAGTAGAGTCTGACACCTCTGGAAAACCACAACTTGCTCATCCTTGCTCTGATCCTTGCTGGTTCTAGTCCCCCTCCCCCAAATGTATTTGATTTATATACCACCCATCTGGCAGCCAAGTCCACTTGGCTGCCACTCTGGGTGGTTTACAACAAAAAAACAATAGAGTTGTGTCTTCCTGCTCACTTAGCTTCTGTTTCCAGCTCGTTTGCTCTCTTCTCTATGTTTTTGGAAAGGAAAAAAAGCACACACCAATATCACAGTTCCCATCATTTCAATTACTGCAGGAAGTCAGGGCTTCAGTAGTCTATATTATTATAGTTTCAGAAGTGGGTGGATGAATCCAATTAATTTGGATAAAGAATGGGTGGGGAAGTATAGGTTCGGTGAATGAGAAGAGAAATACACTATACACAACTTCTTTTTCTTTCTTATTAAAATTACCTCATACAAGGGATTACATTTTTAGAAATACAGAAAACTATGGGCATTTATTTGATGAAAATCATGCAGTTTGCCAACAAAAACTCAGAAGCACAGCTCTCCAAAATGCCACTGTTAGCAAACAAATACTGTTTTGCTTTGAAATTGGGTTTTCAGTTTCAAAAAAGTTTGGGAACTTTTTTTAAAGCTGCTAATTTTTCCTGATACTACATTGGGTGGTGCAAAAATGAGATTTCTACAACCCCACGTAACAAATTTGTTTTATTTCAGTCTGATACCGGATGAGTCATTAGGAGATACAGATGAGTTGTGAATGCTAATGAATGTTTTTAACCCCAGAAAGCAGGCTATAGCTGGCTTCAGCAAGGAATACAACTCTTGCGAAATGCCCTTTGCAACAACTAGGTTTCCTGGAAAAACATAATTTAAGCCTGGGCCTTTTGTGTTTTTCTCAAGCAGCTGCAAGAATCTTGGTGGAGATAAGAAACGTAGCTTCTTATCCCCATGCTCCCTGAAAAACTGGCCCACTGTTCTGGGAATCACAGTTTCTTTCTAAATTGTATCATTCTCAGATTATTGACACTATGACAGCCATGGGCAACTTCCTGATATTGTGCTCAGTGAATCAAATGGGAACAGGAAGTGGAACAGTGAGAGATGCTTTCAATTAGTTCTTGTGAAACCACAGAGAGATTTAACAAAGCAATGCATTTATCTCAAATGACAGAAGATGGGACTTTCAGGCAGACATTTAGAGAAGGGGAGAAGAGTGAGTCTATGTTTAATGTACATATTTTTAATGTTTCAAGATAATTCATTTTTTTTTTAGCTGTGACCACTTAAGAATATTTTCCTTAAAATCACTTCTATGTTTTAGCATCTTTACCTGTCCATACAAAGTAACTTTTGAAATCCACAAACTTACCGGTGTTTCTACCATGTTTGGTTTGCTGTTCCGTAAAGTTTTTACTGCATGGAAAACATCAATGACGTTTTGCCTTTTAACCATTTCCACTACTATGCCTATAGCACAAAACATTCCACTTCGTCCTCCACCATTCCTGACGACAGAAAGAACAATTTTGGTAAGTTTATTGACCTCAGCATTCTTGATATAAACATCTGTATCAACAAAATTAATACACAATTTTTTTAAAACAGCCATTCTCAACAAAGGCAATCTGCCCCCCAAGGAGGATTCTAGTACATTTGAAGAGGGGGCACAGATTGGAAACAATTTTTCAAGCACCACCTTGTAAGGTTTATTATGTCACTTATACAATCCTGATTTGGCCTATATTTCTTTCATATTGTGTGGCCAAAAAGAAGTAGAAAAAAAGAAACAAGAAAAAAGATTAAGAAAAAAGGTTAAAGGTATGCTTTAAAACATCATACAGATGACAAAAATCCATAAACAAATAAGAAAACGAACACTAAATGCCAATTTAATAATTGGGTAACAATTCTAGTTCCTGAGTGGTGCTGGTCAATATTTTGTTTTTACCTTTATTTTAAGCAGTACAGGTTCCATGTGTCTTAGACTGAAATTTTTAACTGCTATTTCCTTGACTTGGTAACTCCATTATGAACAAGAGAAGTGATGGCATCTAAATGTACTGTGAAAGTACTGCACATTAATGGCACGTTTCAGATATTTTAATATTTATAACACGGTTCCACTGAGAAAGAGGCTTTTTTCCCCAAATTGTGTTCAGCTTTATTGACCCCCCCCCAAAAAATATAAAAAATAGCACTTTACAGTTTGTCTCGTCTACTGTTTTTGCTTTGGCATATCTTTCTTTCTTTTTTCTTTCTGAGCCATTTACCAAGGGTAGTTCTATCCCGTCTGCGCTGAAGTTGGCTTCTCTAGTTTTCATGTTATGTAAAATAATATGTTCAGGACCTGGCTTACAACTGAACTGGGATGTAGAGAGTATTTATTTATTTATTTATTTATTTATTTATTTATTTATTTATTTATTTATTTATTTATTTGATTTATATCCCGCTCATCTGGTAAATCTATACCACTCTGAGAGAGAGAGTGAGAATCATGTTTCATTCATCTATTGATGACATCCAGCTGCAAACCCTAAAACAACCTCATTGAGTACTAAGAAGACTGGCAGCAAAATAGGCTCATGTAAAATGCCATAGCACATATGTTTTACATACAGTTCTTAAGCCTTGCCTTCTAGAGGCAAGTGGGGACTGGGGGGGGTTTGCTGGAGTTAATCAGAAATAGTGTTTTAATTTCCTGTCCTGGACATTTGATCCAGAAGGAGCGCAGGTAGCAGTATTCAGGCAATGTCTGATCTGATTTATATCAGAATATTTGCTATACAGATTGGGACTGGCTTTCCTTGAGCTGGTATGGAAGGGGACCTGACCCTTTTTGCTCTTGAGTTCATGCAGGTATATATTTCAGACCCCGCTCCTGCCTTTTCATTAATCCACCATCAGCTAGCAATAGATGTTTAAAAATAAAAGTAGAAAATGAGTGGACCATGGGAAGGTATTTCAGTGAAAGGCTCTCCCTATTGTTTTATAGGTAGCAAGACTATCCTCCCTATGATGCACTAGGGCAATCTCGAGCAAGCAGTGGGGCTGCAGGGGTGTTCCCTTTTTCTCCTCAGTCAATGCATGTGGAATGAAGCAGACAGTGGCTGTAGCAAAAACATCCCTTTTGTTGCCGTCTTCTCCTCACCCAGTTCCAGAAAATCTGCTCAGGGGATTCGAGGTTACTTACCCTCCAAAAACCAGACATACAAAACCTGAAACAAACCTTTTCACTATGCATTTCTTATTAACCATGGTTTTTAATGTCTGACAATGGGCATTTCACAATGAGTACCTGCAGTAAGCAACTACTTACTGCTGCATAGTGGATTTGATCATATGTGTTGAGTTAGTATTAATTTATGGGGTTTCAAGTAGAGATGGGCACAAACCTTGGTTCGGAGGTTTGTGCTGGTTCGTATGCATGGCATTCCCTTCCCCTGCATCCTTGGCTAATGAGCCACTAACTAGTCAGAGTGCACTCTTCTCCTCTTTGGTTTTTTGACTTTCCCCAGCAGGAGTACATGTTTCCTAGTCCTGCATCCTTGTCTGAGTGGGTGATCAGCCAAGGAGATGGGGCAGGGAAGCCCGTGCTCCCACTGGAGACTGGTTGAGCACCCAAAGAGGAGGAGGACAGGAGGGTGTGGTGGCAGGTGCGTGGGGAGATCCAGCTGGGGAGGCAGGCAAAGGGAGGCACCACAGATATGATCTGGCATGAACTTCCAAACCAAGATTTGTGTCCATCTCTAGTTTCTTGGCATAACTTGCCAAGTTTTCAAGCCAAGATGTTTCATATGATGACACTTGCATGTAATACAGGAATTTGCACAAAACTGTAATAGGAATTTACACATATTTGCTGAAATCCAATGGCAGACCTTATACTGCATAAGGATGAAGAGTGACATTATCACTTGCAACAGTTTTTTGAAAATTAAACATTTCTGACTCCACTTCCTCTGAAGGTGTCTAGACTCCTTTCAGTTCCCTTTCATCCTGGGGAAGCTGTGGGGGTGTGTGTCTTGGGACAGAGGTGTCTTTAACTTTTGAAAATTACTGCCACTGTTATTATTTTACTGGTGGTAGCACTTTTCACAAATTAAATATTTCTTCTATGGGACAGAGGGACCTTGGGACCTTTGGTGGATAAAAGTCAGGAATGTTATTTTCTGAAAAAACACTATAGATGACAAATCAGCTTTACGTAGTGCAATTTCCACTACTAAATTTCAGTCACAATCAGCCACTTGTGCAAAAAATTCTAAATCATACTCACAGGCAGTGAATTATGGTTCTCCCTTCCCCTTCTTCACATTCTTCTTGCCACTTTTCAACCTGAAGAATCAACTTCAAGAATGACCGCTTGGATGCTGGAACATCCCTGTGAGATGCCCATCCCAGATACTGGAATTGTTGTACCATCAAATAGCCTTCCTGAGGCTGGTGACAATAAAAATCTCATTACAAACTCCAGTGTGTCTTTATGGAAAATTCTAAGGTAACAGCATGGTAATATCTTCTCTAAGACCAATTTAGAAGTTACAAGTTAAGCAAGTTTCCAATTTCATTAAAACTCTTAATCAGATTGGATAAAAATTAAAACGAAAGGAAGGGGATAAGTTGCAGGGCACGGGAGTGACAATATCTGTGAACTGCAAGAGATTTGAGATGTACTTGAGCCTGGGAAGATAGTTGCTAATGTATATTTAACTATGGTAGGCAAACATCTGCTTATTATAGCAAAAATAACTTAAGATAGAAGGAGCATCAGTTAGTTAACAGCATATGCAGTTTCCTGGACCCCACTTTTACACAGAACAGAACTAAAATGTAGTAATCTATGGTAGCCAGAGATTGATTTTGGGTGGAGGAATACTTAGTGCCATCCAAAGTGACTTACTACATTTGTATCTTCCCTCTTTTCTATACTACCCATTTCTTTTCTATATGCCCCATTTCTTTCACTTATTGTTGATCTTTACCAGCTTAATACATGGGATGTTCTGGTTTAATAATGGCCATATTGCTTACCCTTGTTAAATTGCATATCCTGAAAATTCTGTTTATTACGTCACAATCCATTGAGCAAGACATGCATTCCACTTGAATCGGACCATATCTTAACATTCCTTCTTCTGGCCAATACTGTGGACACCCCTGTATAATATTAAATAGATGTAACTAAATTATAAGTTGTGTCAGAGATAAAATCAATTGCTAAAACAGATAAAATCTATTATATTATGCAATTCCAACAGGCAAACAATTTCATTTCAGCAAACAAGATCACTCCGCAATGCTAGCTAGCTTGCTACGTGTTGTATAGCAGGTGGCTTTAGGATTATAAAATAAGTCCATGTGGGAGCATGGCTAATAAAAGAAATCAGGAGATCGACTGGTGTTTTCATTTGGTTTTGGGTCAGTGTGTGCATCATCTTGCGATAAAGTTTAACCCATTTTTAAACTGTATTGTATAGCAGTTGAGGGGACTACATGGGTATTTAGAATTATTGCATTTGATGCTTTGCCCTGTGGCCTCCTTTAGAAAGCCCCTTATGAAAAAGCCAGAACTAAGATAACTACTTATGCAAAGGGCCACTTCATATGTTGTGGTAGTGAACAGAATTTTGAACATTATCCTGGATTTTTTTTTTAAAAAAATAGTTTTAGTTTTGTACTCTCTTATTTGTTACTTTTCCATTCCTTTTTTGGAAAGAAAAACTCATCAAAATTACCTCAAGTAGGAAAAGTTGCCTCAAAATGTATTCCCAAAGCAATTCCTTCCCCCCTCCAAAAAGTAAAAAAGAAGAAAGGTAATGATTAAATATTACTTGTTATATGGCATCCTCTGCTTGTTTTTGGTTTATACTCTTGTTTTTGAAACAAAAAGAAATGCATTTGTGCTCTTGCTACCCCCAGAAGCAATTTTGTACCACAAATATCATTACTCGTAATGCATTATTTCCAAGCTCTTCTTAGGAGGTGTTCTGAATTAGTTGTATCAAAGCATACCAATGTTTCCTCGTCTTTTATTGAACACATAGGGTGATCTTACCTACTGGCTATGTGCTAGCATCTACATGCCTTCTGCCCTTACACCTATATGTCCTGTGCAAAGATGTGGGGCCTCAATTACAGGCCAGATGACAATCTCCTTTGGGCTATAAAAGCCTTAGATTAAGATTGCTTTCCCTGCAGGAGTGAGGTGGGAGAGGAAGCATGACTCAGTTTGTATCTTGAGGAGCAGCTTCTTAAAAAACTGGTTGGATTCTTCTGTGTGTATCAGACGCACACCAAGGCTGCAACTTGTGGACTCTGTAGCTCTGTCCATTGCTGGCATGGGGCTTTCTGAGAAAATTTGGCCTTTGGTGTTCTCCCACTTGGTGAATGGTGAGAACAGGGATTCAGATCTTCAGCTTGCTTGGTTTAAGACCAGATAACATTTTTTTCCTCTCCAGGTATCATTCAAATAATTTTGTGCATTTTTCTAACCTTTCTGTGAAAAATTTGCAGCAGCAGTTTTTGCATTAAAAAGCTATTTAATCCAATATGCAAGGGTTTGTTTTTTCTGAAAATGATCCAAAATATGGGAGTGAAAAATCCTGCAGCAGCTGCCTTTTATTTTCACAAAGATGCCTCATCTAGGATGAGGACATTTGCAAGTATTTGTTCCCTCCTCAGGTGAGAGTGGGTTTTCTCTTTACACAGATCTTCTGTGTCCATGACCACCCCAAGTGCAAAGGTTTTTTCCAAGAATGAGAAAGATCTATGTGTGCAATGTGTGTGAACAGAAACCCCATTCTCACTCCAGACATTCACAGACATGCAGGAAGAGTGGAAGGATGTGAATGAAAATGGGGATTTGTATGGTAAGGGACAGAGCTAATGATGAAATGCCAGTTCTTCCTCCTCTTCATGTACAGAGAACACATGGCTGGAAAGAGATGATCTGCGTGGATCTCTGATGGTTCTCTGACTATACCATTTTGTGTGAATTCAGGGTGAGGGGATCACATGGCTGGAGGTTGACCCACATAAAACATGGGCACCGAAACATTCTGGCCAGTGAGTAAAAAGGGATTCCAGCCCAGCTACCACCCAGATATCTTTGTTTTACACGTATAGGTGTTTTACTTAACAAGTGAACATCTAGTCTTGTAATCCCTCTTTGTAGCCTGAAGTGGAACAGCTGTGATAGCCTGTTCAACCGTGCTTCTCAGCCACAGACTGCATCCATTTTAATGAGGTTTGCACCACTTGTAAGCTTTAGGAACTTACCTGTGCTAAATCAATTTCATTTAACATCACAAGAGAGGTACAGCCATAGTCATAGACTAATCTCCAGAAATCTTTCACAGTGTTCGGTAGAGGATGCTGTGTGACAATGAAAGCAGCAGGTTGTCTGTAGCTCTTTAAAAAGAGTAGATTAAAAAAAAAGGGTAGCAGTCAGAAAACATGTAGTTTTGTACTGTATGAATATCATACTACCTCCCCAGCACACTAATCAGAGCAAGGGGGCAATTCCCTTTCCCTATGCAGGGATGGGCAAAGTGTGTCCCATACCTTCCCTCCAGATGATTTTGCACCTCTGGCCCCATCAGACAATCACATTCCATCATAATAATTTTTCTCCGCAGCAAGATAGAGTGAATTGCCCTCCACACACTTTTAGCTAACTCTAGTTTTGTTTGGCTGTTTGTTTTTACACCCCTCTCCTTCACCTACATGACCTCACTCCTGATTGACACTGACTGATCACAGCACTTAAGAGATCCAGAAAGGAATCCTTTCTAAGCCTGCACCTTGGACCTCTACATACAATGCATATGCTATCCACTGCTGAGTGATGGCTCTTCCCCATTTGAACACATCCTTTTGCCTACAAAACTCTAAAAAACACATCAGCATGCACAGATAGAAGAAGCTAAGGAATACATTTAATTGAATTTTATTTCTCTGCTCTTCTCCTCACTAATCCTTTATTTCTCCTAGGACTGTATTCGCTGGAAAAAGACAAATAGCTGGAATCGGCTCCAAATTAACATACAAATAATCAGAAACCTGCTAGAGTTTTCCTTCATGAATTTCAATTCCAGCAAGCTAGAGAAAGTTTCACATGCTGGGCTCAGAAACCCAGAGAATGATCAGTGGGCATTAAGACTATTTTATGCACTTTTTAATGTTCTCTTTTAAGAAGACTGTTTTACAGAACACAATAGAAAGGTCAACTTAATCTTTCTCGAATGAGCCAGAGTTCTGTTAAACCTTATGCATATTTTCAAAATACATTAAATAATCAAAAAGAAATAGTCCCTTACATCCATAAGGGCAGCATTGATATAATTACTGCTCTCGCCATCAATAGTGATTAAGAAAGGGAGACATCTGTCCGGTGGCAGCATATCCATAAAGCGGTTTTTGTCGTGGTTCCTTGGCAAGCATGCTATACTACAGTCTTCAGCTTGTAGACGAGGAGTCACAGAATTCAGGGTCTAAAAGATGTACAAAATCTTTGCTGTCATATACTGTGGCTTACATGAATAAATTTAGGCACTAAATAAAACTGTGTGGTGAGAATAGTGCAAGCCATTAGCAAAGCCCAGGCTTCCTTATTTGAGTTGACCTGCAGTTCGATTGAGTCATGACAGGATGAAGAAATTATCTGAATATACTGATTTGGTTCCCAATTTGCATTCTACACAAAATAGGAAATCTCTGTATAAAATGAATGAGAAGCGTTTTACAGAAGACAAGAAATCAGTCTTAGGAATCCAAAGGTCATTTTTGCTCAAAGAAATTAGCTATTTGCAGCCATTAATATTAGGCTTTGGTATTCCAGATGTATAGATTACTTTGCCAAGCACATTACGATAGAATTAGTTGATAACCTGTGTCTGATATAAAAACTGGTAGATATTTTATATAATTGGAGACAGAAAAATGTTTCTATAGAATCAAGGTGCTAAAAATACCTGAAATTCATCTTTGAGATGCGAAGAGTTTGTCTGAGAGTCTATTCGAATCATGTCAAAATAGGCAGCTTTGAATTCACATACAGGGATGGCAGTTTCTCCACACAAGCAGGCTTCCAGAATTGCATCATGAATAAAGATATACTGCTCCTAAGGAAAAAGAAAGGCAATTTTTAAAAAGACAAACAAAATTTCTCTTGTAGATATCTTCTCACTAGGAACCTTATTCAAAGAAGATTAGCTCAATCCATTTTTATTCTGCTTAAGCGCCTTAAATATAGTCTGTTTCTTAACTGGGATTCATTTAATCATGATGATTTTCTGAAAATTTAAACTCTAACAATACTCGGTGGTGAAGGTATTGGTTTTGAAGCATATTTAGTAGTTTGGGGTTTATTTCATGTTTCTACCTTGGAGCTGAAAGGCATTAAAACAGCTCACTCTGGATAACAGCTTGAGGATCCCTACATACCAAGAAAGGTAAAACACAGAGACACATTCACATAGCTACCATTTAATGCTTATACCCAGGTCCCCGAAAAAGAACTCATATTTGGAAATGCAGTGTCACATTCCTCATGATTATGGATAAAGAAAAAAGAGAAACTTGCAGGAACAAACTCCCCACCCCCACCCCCAGTTAAGAATCCTCTAGAAAGGACAAGGTCAGCCAGACCAACTCATCTCAAAAATTCATCTTGGCTCAGATGAAATGGCTCAGTACCCACCATCTCAATGATGCACTCCCCCCCCCTCTTTTTTTCACACTTCCACAAATGTGTCGTGTTGGGTGGGTGTGTGCATGCAAGGGTAGGTGATGCTAAGGCTTTTTAAAAAGTCAATGCTTTGTCAAAGACTTCCCCAAAACCCTGGAAAAGATCTTGTCCTTTCTAAACTGTGCTGTGTAGGTTTTGACCAGCACTGCTCATCACAAGTTTCTTATGTCATACATTTTCATGGTTTGCTACTCTCCCTACTTATGATTTGTTTTTCTACAATTTGCTTGATGTACGTACATGTCGTGAGAAGGAGCCAGGGCTGGATCACACATATTTTCCCTATTTAGTCTGTTAGCATTTCAGAGCAGGCACTGGACCATTTGGTTGTGGTACTTTGTACAAATTGTTGGGGGAAATAACAATAATTGTGCTAAAAACATTTTTCATGCAGGAGAACAGGCTAAACACCTCTTGCACGAAATCGGTGCATCTGTTTATTTGGTTGGCAGTTTAATTTGGTGGTGTGAAGCAACTTCAGTTTAATTTAAAGCTGAATCTGCTTTTACCACATTTTGAACTTACCAGCTGGTCTGTAGCCTAGATAGCCTCTTATGACCGCTATTATACTGCACTTGCAAAATAACAGCTGTTTTGCAGTGTTAGCTGTGTTAAATAATGGTGATCTGAGTCCTGAAAAGCAGATGTTAAAAGCTAATAATGAACTTATGGATAAGGAAGAACCAGGGTGAAGGAAGTTGGTTTTCAGATGCTGTATTTGCTGTACATCAGAGTCCTGTCACTTTCAGCTTGGCATTGTTTTTATCTCTTGGTATACACCTCTGTCTTCCCACCCCTGCCATTCTCCAGCAACCACTGGTTGTTTTTTTATTATTTGGCTGATTCATCTAAAAAGATTTTTTTTTTTTGCTTCACAGCAGAAAAAACAGTAGATTTATGAAATAGATTCCCTTTCGCACCCTGTGTTTGGCATGAGAAATGCCAAACACAGGGTAGTCTGAGATTATTGTGGGAACAGACTGATAACCAGATCTTTCCAAAAGTGATTTTACAAAGAATCTGGGGGCCCCTTCCCCTGCTGATTATTTTGAAAAAGAAATCACAGTGCCAGCAATTCCACAGTAACCTCAGCACAACTTAAAGCTAGAAGCAAGTGTTGCAACCAATTTCTATTTTAATTTTTCCACCCAGTACTGCTTTGCATTCTTGGGAGTGGTGCATCTTGCAGTCAATCCTGGGGATGAGACACTACACACCCACCACTGTTCTAAAAGTTCACCCTCACTTTCATGTGGCCTCCTCATGAAGCTTCTGAGGATTAAGAGCAAGAAATCACACTTTGCTCTCTTATTCTTGTCAAGAAGATAAGCTGGTCCTCACATAAAGCTCTGGTGCAGCTGTATCATTCTATAAAACCCTGCCATGCGCCCTGCCCCACACACACCCCATTTCATTCACTTGCATGCAATCGTCATTCTTGCTTAGTGAAATGTCTTTACAAAGTGTGATTCAGTGCTCTTTCTAGGAAACCTTAACATGTGACACAATTAAGTACAGTACCTCTGTCTGTACCATATTGATGCGACGTGAACGTAACGCTTTGACACAGTTGTAGATGTCCACAACACCTTCTCTTTCTGCCATGTCTAGCATTATGTCAATTACAATGTAACAGCCAGTCCGTCCAGCTCCAGCACTGTAATGAAAGAGAAGCAAATGTATAGAGTATTTCTCTCAACATATTGAAAAACAACAACCCACCTTGCTGCAGAAGTCAGGATCAGATTTCTAGTGTGTGTGTGTGTGTGTGGGTGGGGGGATTCCAGCACATGGAAGCAGTATTTTCTGCCAACTACCATGGATGCAAAGTATAAAATCAATATTCTGTAATACCTAAAGTTAGTAGATATTGGTTGAAATCAAACATTATAAAGTTCTATGGTGATGAAGTCATTAGCAGTAACTATGGTGAGACCAGCAGTGGACATTTTTGGACATTTAAGACTCCTCCCTCCCTCATCCTGCTGCTCCCAAAAGCTTTCCCTATGACCAAAGGCATCCTAAAGGATCCTAAGAACTTGTGTGTGGGGGGGAGATAAGAAACTTTTTAAATGACAAATATGGCCATAGTTCTGGTGCATGGGGTCATGAAGAGTCAGACATGACTAAACGATTAAACGACGATGATGGCCACAGTTAATGACAACATCAGACATACACAGTGTAACTTTACATTAGTCGATTTTAGTCACTGGGAACAGCACTTGGATATTAAGAATAAGGCAGGAATATGTTATTTTTCATACCCTCAAACCTACATAAATGCACTTCCCAGTAGTAATGTTCCTTGCTCTTAGAGTTTTAAACAAATATTAATGTGCATGAAATCTATACTTAGATGATTCTGAGGGCAGCAACTAAAAATTGATTGTTTCTGGCTTTACTGTTAAAATGAAGTTCTCTCAAGGGCCTGCTTAAAGAGATGTGCAGTTCTAGCATTTGAATGGCTTTTGAAAATGATGCAGCCTTTCAAAGGATTTAATGCCTGGTTATTGTTTCTGTGTTCCTGCAGTAATTCATATGATGTATGCATAGTGGCACAGACTTAGCTGCTGTGTTTATATGACTAGCTGCCAAGGATTTAGTGGCTTGAAGTGCACGCACTATTAGGTTAGATACTAGTATTTGTAATCATCTACTTTTCCAGGAAAAAAAAAGATAGATAACAATTCAAAGTTTTAGAAAATTTTTAAAAACATTTAAGCTCCAGGTTCCTAGGTATGGTTGGACTTTCCCTCCCATTATCCCCAGCCAACACGGAAGATGATTTGTGGATACGTAAATAAAAACGGATTGCATAGGACTTTCAGGGATGATAATCAATGGATTACAATATTGTTAAGCTACATCTATCAGATCATGAGCAAGGATAAAATGTTGTTGCTCATGTGCCATCAAGTTGATTCTGACTGATAGCAGCCCCAACAGGGTTTTTGAGGTATGTGCAAAATAGTGGTTTGTCATTGCCATAAACTCCTCTCATGTGTTTTCATGGCCAAACAGAAATTTGAACCCAAGCCTCTCGAAGCCTAGTCCAATACTCTATTCACTATACCAAACTGGATCTCAGGTAAAATACAGAACATACAGTGTTTCCGAAAAACACCATGTCACATCAACACAAGTTCACAAGAGACTACAGATCATGCATACACTGATAAATTATAGAAAATGCATCTACCTCTTCTCTACACACCTGCAATGCACAACAATAGGGCCAGCACTAGGAGGGTTAGATAGTTTCACACGTCGTATAAATGAAAGAAGGCCTGTTGCATTGTAAGGTACTCCATGATCTGGCCAGCCAGTAAAGTGGAACTGTTTAACTTCTCGTATCTCATTATAGCCTCTCTGTCAACATCAAAAAACAAAACAACACATTTTTTTTCTTCATCTGAAAACTTATCAGGAGAGCATATTAAATCAAATACTGAATCATGAGGCGAGAGCAACTTACAGAATCAACAGGTATATTTTATTAGCATTCAGAGCCAAAAATATGACAATGGGCATCTACAGTTGAATTTATAAATAAGTCCAATCTATCAGTTTCTCAGGGTCTTTCATAAATCCAGTGCAATGACTGAAAGTGTCATTGCCATACACAGAAAACTGTGTATTTAAAGGGTTGATGCTAGCGATGTAATACAAAAGCTAGTGAGAAGTTTCTCAGGCAGCCCAGAATATGACAGACATGTTAACATGCAAGGACACAGAAGAGTACCTTTGAGGAAAACAGCAATCAAGAATCATAAACTTAAGAGAAGAAGGCTTATAAATAAGCCCACTTTATGATGGATAACTGAGTACAGGATGAGGGGGAATGGTGTTGAGGTGGATGACATTCAACACAGTTTCTTTGAAGTCTGTTCTATTTAGCACAAAGAAGTGGCGTGCAGCAGTGCTTGACTGATAGGGGACATAATATCATAAAAAGCTTAATATATACAGTAATCTTGGCGCCATCAAATACTAAACTAACAACACAGTTTGAATATGTAACTTATAGTCTGAAACCTACTTACCCTTTCAAGGGTGAATGTTCTGACCACATATTCTGCAAGTGGTTCCACTTCCACACAAGTAACTTTGAAGTCCCCATACACTTCAGTGTCATCTGGCCAATACTTGTAGCACTTAACCTTTTAAAAAAGTTTTAAAAATATATCCAAACCAAAGAAATACATGAACTGGAAGGTGTGTAAACAGATAATTTCATCAATGAAACAAGATTGGGATGGTTTAATTAAAAGGACACAGTAGTAGTCATGCTGCCTGGGGAATTCTGGAAATTGTAGTCCAAAAATGCAAATCTGTACACTTCTGTTAGGTAGTGAACATTTTGATTGTGTTGAATTGTTTTAAGTTCTTTCAAACACTAATTATCCTATTTCCAAGTAATTATATTGTAAGATGAATAATACGCAATGAATTTAGCAGTACTTCTAAGTTAATACAGTGGGCTGGAAATAAGGGATGTGGAGATAACATGACTGAGGGATACAAAAAAAGAGAAAGTTTTTTTCAGGTGGGGGATGTCCTCTCCTGCCCTATCTGGTGCAATTTCCCATTTCTAAATAATCCAAGTGTGACTTATTTAACGTGAACCTGTGTTTAATATGGGATATGTGTGCTGAATTTATATACACACACAGTCCCGGTTCACAGTACAAAGATGTGGATAAAACAAAACAGTTGCTGCATTGTTCCCCAACTTCTACATAGGAAAACATTTCTTTCCATTAGGCCCTTCAATGGTAAATTCTTTTTCTTTTACTTCCTCAAACGTGCTTCTATTTTTGTGAGCAAAGGAATTATGATTTTTAATATGTGTCTTAAGAGTTCAGCATTTCTAAGGTGATACTTACACGTCCCACCTCAACTAAATTAGTAACCATGACGATGCATGCTGATTGTTCCTGCCATATCATTCTCCAGAAATCATAGACTGTTTCATGGACTGGACCTGGGGAAGAAAATGCTCTTAAATATATGTAAAGTACCTACAAAGCCACTGATCTCTGAAATAACTGTCAGTTATTTCCTTAGGTATGAAGGACTCCACTAATCCTTCCAAAACTGCTACATGTTAATAACAGATACATCATTAGTGTCGAAATATCTCATTGAAACCAGATTATTAGCTTTAAAAAACTCAAGTAGGTATTAAGACTCTTAAACTTGCCTTATGCCAGAAAATGCTGATATTTGAGAATTAGTGGACTTTCATTATGAGTTCATTAGCACAAGGAAAGTCACCTTATAATAGCTTGTACTAAAGTCGCTGGAAATCCAATAGACCTATTCCCCTACCATCAAGATTACAGTATCCAACTACTTGGTTCCCTATTTCCTAAGAGAAAGATCACAGACAAATTCCTCTTCACCAGACTTTCAAATTTCAGCTTCTGATTTTTGTTTTTTTACTTTATAGCCGTTTGTCTTCCATTAGCATTAATGAATTAGTATACCTTTCTTTCTTATAGACAGTTTACATTAGTTGCTATCAATAGCTGCTAATAATAATGGCTGCCTAGAAAGTCCAGATCTTGAAACTGTATGCCGATGAATAACAGTTTCCTGGAGGAAAACAATGGGAGAAAGCTGTTGCCTTTATGCTGTGCTTGTGTGCTTCGTAGAAATTGGCCACTGTAGAGTGTTACCTTATATAGGCTTTGGATTATATAATCTCTTCTTGTGTGATGTGCTCTCAAGCTGGAACCACTATATAGTGACCCTAGGAGGATTCTCAAGATGAATGAAATATTACCAGTTCTGCACATCCACCAGTGAGTTCCCATGACCAAAAGGGGACTCAAACCCAAGTCTTAGTCTGTCACTCTGTCCGCTACACCATACATGTCCACTACACCACACTAGAAGACACACTGGGATCCCTACTGGGAGCTAGGAATGAGTGGATTTTAAAAATACATGTCATACCAAAAAAGGAGGGCTCTTCCTCCAAGAAACTGCTTTCAGATGTGTCTCACTGCCTAAGACTTCCACCAGTATCTTGAGATGCCACAGTCCTAGTGATGATCCCATCCCTCAACTAAAGGGCTGGGACTTAAGAATGCAAAGTGTTACATACATGTGTCAAAATACAACATACATTCTATCCCAAAATGGCAATACGAACCTTCTAGTGCACTCTTACCTTGGGTTGCAATGTAGTGACTTGGTCTCTGGTATCCCTGAAACAGGAAAATGAATTTATATTTTACAATGGATGTTTAGTTTAAAATGTAGACTCAAGTAGGGAAAATGAAGGCATACCCAAGATGCTTGTAGGCATTCTTTAGGCGGAAAAACACAACAATCTAGTAATTAGTGTAGATGCTAATCCTGTCAACTAAATTCGGTGTCAACTTCAACCATTTACAAAAAATCTTGGCACTGGAATTGAAATGAAGTCGAACTGATTTAAATAGATTTTTCGTTCTGACTGTTTACAATGATTTCATATATTTAATGAAACATGTACTGTATTGGTTACCACTACAGTATTCCTAAATGTCTTAATTTTGTATTTTAAACTGGTTGATTTTAAATCGTTTTAAATGTCTTATGTCTTTAAATTGTTTATACATCTCTAAGACCCTGTGATATACAGGATGGGCTGTAAATGCTTTAAATGTTTTTTGAAGGAATATTTGTATCAAATTTGTGTCAGATCACTGTTAGTTTCACTAAATGATAAGCTTTGCCTTCACTTTTTTAAAGAACGGAAACAATTCTGCTTTTTGCTTATATAATAAGTGGGAGACAATCATATTTCATTTGCAGAAATTAAATTTCACCATGAATGCACAAAAATTATTAGAGCCACATCTAATAAGCAGAGCAGCCGAATGTTAGAGCTGGACAATGTGTATGTGTGCACAGATGCAAAATCTACATGCAATACTGCACTTAGTGCAAATACATAAAGCAAGATCTTAGAATTAAAACAAATGGTGTGTATATATACTACTTTACATTAAGTATAAAAACTTATACACACACACATACATTAGTACTTCTGCTCAACTTTCTCCACAATACCATTATCAAATACAGGGAAATATCACATTTCTCCAAGCGATTTTGAACACTATTAATAACTATTAATTTATTGAGTACTAACTACAACAAGTTAAATGGATCCTGTGCAAATTATTTCATCAAAGTACCAAATGATTGCCTATAGTAAAATATAGGATTGAGGAGGCATGTTTAATAGTGCTGGCTTGCCAGAAAAAAATTGAAATACCAACCTCTTAAGAAGGATGCAAGCTCTTGTAAATGACATATTTATTGACGCCTGCTCTCAACATTTATATTGATTATCCTCATTATTTTTTTTAAAAAAACCTTTGGAAGAAGCATATACTAATAATATCTTAGAACTGCAGAGTTGGAAGGTACTCTATGGACCATGGAGTCCAACCCCTGTCAAGGAGGCACAGTGGGGAATCGAATTTCCAGCCTCTGGCTTCGTATGCTAGATATCTAAACTACTGAGCTATCTGACAATTTCAGTACCTTGTACTCAGTTGGTTGCGCTGGGAAATTATTACTATAGAAAATTATTACCAGAAAAAGACGTAGGCAGAAATAATGATTCAACACTTATTTGTTGATGAGAAATGTCAATATAGAGCTGGGCTTTACCGATAAATGTGCTGATTTATTGTTGCCTAGACAGCAAATCAGTGGCTTAAAACATTCAACTTACTCATGTTCAAGGACCTTTGTATGAAAATTCTCTTGTTAAATTCATAGATGGATTTATCTAAATGCTGAGGACACCAAACTTCCATACATAAATTCTACAACCATGTACAAAAGTACTGATGATTTTAAAAATGTGCACTGATGCATTTTAAAACTGTGTATGAAGTAGTCCTGTTGGCTAAAATTTGGATTTCACAGTGGAACAACAGGAATCTTTACTTATTGCGTATGTACAATATAGGGTGCAGGTGTACCAAGCTCTCTGTTTCTCTGCCTTAAACGAGCCAGAGCATCTGACAAGATAAACAAACTGTGGACTGAGGCTTCATGGCTGGTTTAGCCATCCCTGCTGTAAGTGGGAGACTGGACAACCTGCGCCTCTGCACTCCTCACAACTCATAAACCTGTGTTCCAGGCTTACCATCGTGTCTGATTACAGCCACTGACTGAAGTATGTTAGACATGCCACCATAATAGGCCTTATGTTCATTTGTGCTATTTTATGCTTGCCTATTCTCTACATGTCACTGGCTTCAAGTGAAATCTTCCAGTTTGGTTTTCATTAGTTGTTACTTTGTCTAATATGCCTCCAAAAATCTGCTATGTGTACACATGGAGAATCTGTGGTTGAAGCTGGAAAACGTACATTATTTAAATATCTATTTTGTTCGTAAATATATGGGCATGTGCATATACTATAGGCTATTGAACTGAGTTCAACTTGAATTGGAAATATGAAGGCAAGCATTTAGCATGTTAAACACCATTATTAAAATGACTCCTTTTAAGAAAATGAGACAATTCCATCCCTCCGACCAAGTACCCCTTCCATATGATAAGCAGCTCTCTTCTAGAGCGACATTACACATCATACTATCCAGCTTCTCACATGGAAATGGAATGCAAAAGAAAAGCTACTAACAAAAGCAAATAAAAGTAATACTCAAGCAAAATGTGATTTTAATTAAATGGATAAGTTCAGCTGTTTTAGCTAATGGTTTCCATGACTGAACTAAAGTACTAAGCTAACTTTTAAAATACAGGTACAAACATAAAATATTAGCACAAAGGAACATTTAAAAGACCAGATATATAAATGAGGTTAATTAAATGAGGCATGCATATATATCTAGCAATAAAAATTAGGAGAATAATGCAACTGAGAATGTTTGCTATATTAAATAGTCATAACAGGATGCTGTTATTCACATATAGTGGTACTTACATCCCTGTACAGCCAAATCTACAGCCCAAATCAAAGTCAGATGTGAAAGAAAGCACAACAATGTCAGTGAGTACTAGGACGGAGAACAAGGAAAAGTGTACATTTTGTTTGTAGTTAAATAAAAAAAGCTGTCATTCAGTTCATAGGAAATGCATGCAAAAAAGTGTCACAGAGAGAAGCTGGAAGAAAAGATGTGAATTATGCAATCTACTTACATCAATGTAATTAGCATTAATGTAATCTGAAGAAGGATCATCCTCAACAGGTTGTAATATCACTCTGGAGTGGTCATCTGTAAACATTGATATGCTGTATTACAACACAAGGAAATAGCTTAGCAATCATCTGTATCCCTCCCCACACATTTTAATGGATACCTTTAATCTGTTAAATGATAGCTGTTTCACATTAACAGAATCACAGGATTTCTCTGCTAGTTTAGGCGTTCTACTTCCATAGTCATGATCACACAAGCACATATGCACAAACATCTTCACAACAGATTACTCCAAGTAGGGACCTGCATATTTCATTAACTGGTGTTAATAGCATGATTCTGTCATCAGTTTAATTACGATCGTGTTCTACCTGCCTCACCCTAGTAAAGTTTCTTCTCTAGAACTGTCACCTGAAGATTATGTTTAGAGAGATTGACCTTTGCCTCTGCTACATTTAGGTGGAATTCCACTGGCAGGGGACTCTATATCAGATAGTGTGGAGAAGACAGTACACAAATAGTTTAGATATCAGATGTTATAAAAACATCTCCTTTTCCATGTCAGTACAGAATGACTGATCCAGAAATAATTCCACCAGTGGACCAAAAGCAGTTTCAGAAATTCAGTAATTTTTCTTGGGACAAAATCCAACTGGAACACTTCTGGAAGTAAAGGGAGAGAAATAGATAGATAGATAGATAGATAGATAGATAGATAGATAGATAGATAGATAGATAGATAGATAGATAGATAGATAGATAGATAGATAGATAGATAGATAGATAGATAGACAGACAGACAGACAGACAGACAGACAGACAGACAGACAGAGAGGGAGAGAGGGAGAGAGAGAGGGAGAGGGAGAGAGAGGGAGGAAGAGGGAGAGGGAGAGACATAATAATTCAGCCTTTAATAATCAAGCATTTGGCCCTTGGTATCACAAAAATTCTTAGCTCTTCAGAAATTGTGATATGTACATTTGAAAATATACCCTTTCATGAATATGTGGGCAGCTAAGTCTAAGCCTTTATCAGCTGTTCTCCCAGTGGCATCTTGATAGCTGATGCTATTCTTGTGGTGAAATGGCAATCAAAATGTGTTTGTGCTTTGGTCTTAAGTATCAAAAGCTTTACTCCAGAGAACCTGTCAGGTTTCTTCGATCCTAATCACTGCAGTGGAGTGCATCAGAAGTAAACAACTGAAAATCAGATACGGTGTAGCAATGTAAAAGAAATGCAGGAAAATGTTAATATAAATACGTAAACCAGAAAAAGGGGAAAGAAGGTTTTCAGATAAACACTTTAACATTCAGGTATCATAAATGGGTATGTCGTCTATTTCCCTAGAACAAAGGGCTATGTTTGTGTACCCAAACAATCATAAAACAATTTTAAATCCTTGTGTGTTTGTATTCATGTAACCAGGTTCAGATATTATGCAAATCCTTCATATAACAAGAAAAGGTAATAGGCTGCATTCCTAAGCAGACTGCCTTTGCCCGGTATAATTTAGAAAGCATGATTCCTGACTTATCAAAATGTCTGACTGCAGCGGCAGTCAAAAGTTGTGCCCACATTTAAGTGGGAGTTCTCCCATGGATGGCTGTTGTGTATTTTAATGTAACATTCCCCTAATATTTTTGTATATCTGTGCAACAAAAGCTGGAAATTCTATATTGCACTGAAGTGACTGACTGGATGGATAGAGTTGGATATGAAAGTATTAATATTTGAAAAGTTTAAACATAATCTGCAGTACATGTGCAGGTCTCGCCATTCAGGAGACTGACTAAGACTGAGAAGCCCTGTTCAAATCTCCAATAAGCTCCGATGTTCACTGGGTCATCCGGGCCAGTCATTGCTTCTCAGACTAACTTATTTCACAGGGTGAAATGGATAGTCAAAATGGTATGTTGCTCCAGACCAGTCAAGGAAGAGTAGTATAGAAATGTGATAAATGTATTTAATTGCATTGCTAAATATAAGGTCATAACTTACATGCTATTATGTTTCCATATCTATTCTTTGTTCTGTTTTGATCCTTTTTTGCCACATCCCAAGAAGCAGATTGCCCTTCAAAGAAACTCTTTTGTTAAGGAAGAAGAAAAAGAATTAACATTTTATTCACTGTAACACACATTGTATTTTAGCATTGAAAATATTAACTTTCCCTCTGCCTGCCCCCTCCCACAACAAGGACAAATACATTAACTTAGAAATTAAAATCTTGTTCCCCTGGTAAAGGGGCTGGAAAAAAATTTCTGTTGGGAGCAGCAATAAGGCTTGTAGCTTTTGGGAAGATGTTGGGTTGATCCAGAAATACAGGGAAGCCTGCTGGGGTGACAGATTCTTGTCCTCATCCCCGATATAAATAACACACTCAAAAATAATTCTCATTTTCTTATTATTTGTGTTTTCAATGCAGCAAAAGCAAAATTAGTATTTCTTATTAAAACAACACAAGATAGTAATGGAACAAAGCCGTTGTTAATTCAATTGCTTTCCCCCTGGACAAGATTTTTCGTGTTTGTTTTTACAGCGTGGAAATATTTTCAAGTAGCATTTTAGAAACAAAACCAAAAAACCCCCCAAACACCACTTGTGTTCACTAGAAATAGATATTTCCTAATCTCCCTTCCCAGCAGTGGATATTATCAGAACATATACTCTATAAATTGTAATCCTGGTGTTATCTCTTTCTAGGAGACAAATGGAACAAAAAAGATGTCACTACGCAGTCGGATCTACTAAGTTCTGTGTGGATGAAGGAGTGAAATAACATATGGTAGACGGGAAACTGAAATAAGGGACTAAAAGGATTGTTTGTGATTTTTGTGTTTTGAAATAGCCATAAAACTAGATTGAGATTCTACTTTCAGATTCAGAGTTAAGGGAGCCTGGGTTTAACCCCATGCAGATGCTCTTAGAGAGGTATAACTAATCTAGCATAGCTTTTTGTCCACTTGTCTGGCCTTTGCAGAAAGCTCCTATACACCTAGAAGATCCACACCGACCCCTGCACACATTCGTATGATGCTAACCCAAATATTTTTTATTTTAAAAGTATTTTCTAACTAAAAAGTCCCCCTGTGGCCTCTAGTGGCACAAATAATAGTTTATTTTAATTCTGGGAGTGTGTGGGATCCCTCCCTCCCCCTTTTAAGGATTGTGGATCCTTAAAATATGGCAGAATTGCCCCAGTAGAGCATAAGGCAATTAATTTCTACCAAGAAGTTTACTTGTGGGGCATTTACTTTTGGGATGTGGGGGCCACAGAGGAGCTTTGGGGTTGCACTGAAGCCCAAGGGGCACCCTGTGCCCTGCAAACCCTATTTCAAGTATGGGCCTTGGTATTCAGGTTCTGATGCATATAAGGTCCCACTGGATCAGACCAAATGCTTGTGCAGAAGACTATCCTATCTCTACCCTCAAGCTCAAGCAGGAACAAGCAGGACAACAACAACAACTGGGGGTTGAGTGGAAAAATAGGTGCAAAATTCCTGAGACCTGCCTTCTGCACTCATCAACAGGACTTCCTTTAAGGTTATCTCTGAATAGATTTTACTTTCAAAGAAACCTATTTGAGGTTAAGGAAAATTTGTTCCAGAAAGGGACAACTGGTAGGAACTGTCCATGTTCCTGGCAGTGGCTCCTGATTAGCCAACTGCACTTGGCAGGTGGCCTAAGTAAGGTATGAGGATATCAACAGCCAACAGCCCACCCCTTAGTTCTTTATGATCTAATGTCCAACGCACCAAAAATTATCAGTGCTCTTTCAGATTCTTCCATTGACTCAAGCCTCCCTGACAAGTGGTCTTTTAAAAATTTAATCCCATTAAACATGCATTTTAATCTTCCTTTAATTCAGAACTCTCTTTGTAAACAAGGAGCTGAACTCTCAAAGGGTCTCTCCTTCCTAAGGTGATGCCTCTTCTTCTTCTTTGTTATCACTTCTGATAGTTTTACCTCGTATTCTTCTTTAAAACCATAGCTGTCTGATGTTTTCATGAGGTTAATATGCTGCAACAAATCAGCGACTCGGATAGCAGGATGCAGTTGGCCGGTCTGGTATGGGGATTCTGTTCCTTCACAGAGATACCGAGGCACATCTAAGAGGCGACTCGACTCTGCTGTTGCGCTGTGGTTTTCATCTGCGGTTAAAAGACCCCAGAGTATAAAGCCATGTTCAGTAATAATGAAACGTAAATATATCTGAGATGCCATGGTGTTTTAAATTAGCTTGTAGCTGCTCTCTTGCCAGTTTTTTTGGATACTCTTGGTTTCAGTTCAACAAAGAAGCCATAAGCAGCAAGCAAACTCTCGCTGTATTTATGAAAATGTTGAGTTAAATAATGCATAGCAAATTAATTTGAATTCATGGTTGAATGGCAAACTGCCAGATTCTCAGTTGGCAGTTTCATTTTACCAGCTCTAGTTTAGCAGACTATCAGATGAAGCTGCGACTTCTGTTCATAGCTTGATGGGCCTCAAGGGTGCACACTTCAACGAATGTGTGCCCTCAGCACTTACTGATTATGTAATAATCCTTTTTTAAGGGTGTTTGGTGTTCATTGGCTGATTCAGTACCCTCAGAGCATGCTATAGGCCCCCAAAGTTCTTTCCGTAAGCTGCCAACCCGTAAGCATGAGATGAAAAGAAGAGCTTCCAGCATAGCTGGCTATCTTTGTTTGGACCTAAGGCTGCTACACATTCTGTTGCTGCTGTGTGGAAGCAGTCCATGTAACTTTGGAGGCTTTCAGTGAAAACTTCCTGTTCTATGCACCAGGCTATTATATATGAATAGCAACTCTGAGATAAGAGGGGACATCTGGCTTCCATTCAATGGCCTCAGCCCCCAAAATTATCTTTGGTAGCCATGGCAAGGCTCAAAAGGTATTTGTCTTTTGATTAAGTATATGTAGTTTTAAGTGAGTAATGGCTCAAACGAGCACCATCATCTTCATGCTCCTCCAAAGTTCCAGTGTTTTCAGAGGCTTAGACAGTTACTATTTAGACACTGTATGCAAAATAGTCTACTCTGTGGAACTTGATCTTCTCCATCAAAGCCAATTTAGCATTTTTTTGCTCTTAAATGAATATTTCTAGTTCAGCCAGCTACAGGTCTTTTGAAAGATTTCCCACATATTATGATATAATTTAAAATATTAACAAAATTAGTATGATGAATACAGTACTACATTCTGTACAACAGAATACAAGTATGGCTGCACTCCTAAATTATGATCAGTTGTTTAGACTGAATTAAAAAAACACACAACAAATTTCAAACAAAGGAGCTCCTTTTACATCAACTGAAGCATGACCTTGCTGAGATAGAGGCATGTTTAAATACACTGTTTTAATAGCTTCATAGTGATTGCTAGAACCCTATCCACTGCTAGCCACAGTTGCCTCAACCAATACTGTATAAGGAAATATATGAAGAAATCCAGATGCTATTATAATGTGTGGCAAAGCTTTAAAAGATAATTATAATAAATTGATCAGCCTGGGCAACATGTTTACATGTTAACATCTATTTTATTTGTTTTACAAAATTTTGCAAACAATGTCAGTCACTTGCTTTTGATGCTCTCAGTACATGAAAGCTTATGCCAAATGCAACTTAAGAGTCCTAATGGTGCCACAGCACTCTTCGTTGTCAATTATAGGGTGCAAACCCAGCAGTATTTAACAAGAAGCAACCTTACGCAGAGAGGTCGAATCTCAATGCTAAGTGGTACAACAGAAGGGATACACCTTCAGGATTAAAGTAGTGGATCATTTTTTATATCACTGCCTATAATGAAAGGATGGAAAATGGGTGTCCTTCCTGTTGCCATGCGATCACATCAGTCCAAGTCAGGCTCGCCAATGGTGTGGTTTAAAGAGGCTGGCAATGGTTTCTAGCTATGAAGCCAGAGATTGGGAGTTCAATTTCCCATGGTGCCTCCTGTAGGTGGAGCCAGCCTGCATGGCCTTGGGCAAGCTGCACAGTCCCAGGGCACCCCCAAAAGAAGGGAATGGTAAACCACTTCTGAATATTTTCTACCTGGAAAACTCTGAAAAAGGGTCGCCATAAGTCAGAATTGACTTGACTGCACATGATGATTATTATTATTAAAGAGGACACATGTTTTGTACCTGTTGTAAAATTTGATCAAGACTGAAATCTACTGTAATGAGGACACTGCAAGCATCAAAGCTAAAGCAGGCTTATTAATTTTAGACCCAGGCTATTGCAAAAAAGGTTAGGAGCAAACAATCTAAGTACTTAAAATCACCTGAGTTCCCAATTTCAATATGTGTGCTTCATTATACCAACTATATGTAAATAATAAGGCAAGGTCACCAGAAAGACAATATTTGACCTGTTAAACTGTATAGGTAATGCAACAAAGATCATTTCAGTGCCAGTGTTACAAAATGGCTCCTCAAATACTTACCAGTTATAGGGACTGTAGCCCATTGAAGCATTTTTTTTAAAAAAGGAAATAAAACACAGACATATTTGAGGGCTACCAGAAAAAAAGGCGAAGCAATACTTAAAATATACAGAAACTTCATAATTGTATCAACTAAAGTAGCTTCTGTTTTAGACACAGAAATCTGAATAAGCCCATTTTTAAAATCACCACATGCTCATACATACTCTTCAAATTATACTACATAAGCCAATTGTTTTTGTATAGAAAATATCAGTGACACACTGTTAAGAGTTCACATACATGAAATGAAATGAAAACCAAATTTTGAAAGAGTGAAGAATAAGCAGCATTCTCTAATATCTAACACAAGCACAGTGCCCCATGAATTCTAGCTTAGGCTTTTTGAGTTACATAAATAATATTACATTGGCAATGGAGAACAAACAAAAAACACACTGTGATGTGAATGCATGCAGTAACTGTCAGCACCCCCCCTTTTCAGTTTTGCCCTGGAGTTGCTCTTCACAGCTGCCCGTCTCACTGAAGTTTTAACAGATTAACCTCTGCATGTCAAAAGATGTGTTTCACCTAACTGAGTTGGAGGTTTTGATGGCTCTAATGTCACATCAAATATACTTGTTTACTGATTATATGGCAGTTAGAGCCTCTTGATGAAAAAAGGATTTAAAAAAGCAGCACCCAATTGGTGAGTTGAATCTTGTTGACTATTCAGTGAAGTGAACTGTAATTTAAGATGGCAATTAAGCTGTTACTAATTATGGGCATGAGCCACCTAAATGGACAGTAGGCTCACACCCATATACTTGATCGAACCTAAAGCCCTGGGTGGGCCTCAAGGGCACTACAGTGCAGTGGCTGTAGCGCTGGACCAGGATTAGGGAGACCTGTGGTCGCATCATCACTCACCCCTGAAGACCACTGGGTAACCCTGGGCCAATCTCTGTCCCCCAGCCTAGCCTATCTCACAGAGGTGTTGGATGTGCCATGTACCACATGTTTTAAACTGAAAGTACTTTTAAAGTAAGTTTGGTTTTCAGTATAGTATGAAGTTTGGTGAGGAAGATATTAAAAGTTCCAGTAGATGAGCTCAATTCTTTCCTTGCACCTGAAACAGCTCTGCAGATTCTGGTAAAAAAATATATCTCTTAACTTGAACTATTCTCAGAAAGCTATCACAATGATGAAAGCAACATGAATCCCACCCACAGTGCTTTATAAACTGATATCTATATATTTTTCCCCTTCCAACTATTGTGCAATCATAAGCTGGAGATGGATGTCATCAGTATGCTCAGATGAGCCTGATGAATATATATCAAGACCATTTCAGCTTAAATCCCTTTCAATATGGTTTCTGGTCAGTGTTTGGCACATCTTGAGCTACATTTGGAAAAGGACTAATCTTCCTTTCAGTCACCTTTGATGCCATCAACCATGGTACCTGTATGGGCTGGCTCTTTGGGATAGCAGAGATCAAGTGTTACCATAGCAACAACTAGAGTTACCATAGCAACATGCAGAGGGATCTATCTTCTCTCATGCTCCTCAGCATCTACATGAAGCTGTGAGATGAGGTTGTCTGAAGACTTGATCTGAAATGCTATCAGAATTCTGATGACATCCAGCTCTACTTCTTTACATCTGAACCAAGGGAGACAATACAAATTCTGGGAGATGCTAGAGGGCTCTAATGGCTAAGCTGAGTTTGTTAGCCCTCACCTGGCCTAAAATGGAAGCATTGCTCTTTGCTGTTTTGGTGGATATGTATGTTTGCTACTTTGCCCACTTAAATGGGGTTTCTCATAAACATTAAAAGACTGAAAGATTAGAAGTACTATTAAGTTTTTGCCTGACAGTGCATGATAAAATAGCATCTGTGTTACAAAGTCCTTCCCTCACCATAGCAATCAATGGTATTTCCTAGACACAGGCACATGGCAGTTATCTATGTTCTTCACTTATACAGGTTAACCTACCTTGGTCATTGCAATGGGATACACCTGATAACATTTTTGGAAACTTCAGCTGTTTTGGTACACAGCAACTGAATTCCTAAGTTCAATTGACTAATTGGAACACATTTCTCTATGTTAATAATGCTCTTTCCCTTTTCATAGAATAGTGAAGTTGGAAGGGGCCTACAAGGCGATCATGTCCAACCTCCTGCTCAATGCAGGAATTTTTATTCCTGCATTCCTTCTTTTTTATAGGCATGGCAATAATTAGTGTCTCTCACCATAAGGCCCTACGCAGCTATGGGACCGGAAGGATCCTCTAATCCTGCTTTTATTTTAAATACTTCCTCCCCATCATGTGATAGAAAAAATTCTAAGACTTACACTATTACACTATTAAAATAAACATCTAACAATAAGGGAATGCCAGCCCTATAGAAAATTTGTAAGTTAGTGAAAGCTGGTAGGGTCATATGACACTATTTAAAAAACAGTGAAAAAAAGTAATGAAAGCTACTTAAAACAAGGCTGTTTTAGTGTAGCACCCAAAAAGCTCCAAATTTCATGGCAGGCAAAATGTTAATGGGAGTGCTCTCCAGCAACATGGTGCTACCTGCTCATGGTAGTGACCATGGTTCCTGCTAAGCTGGGTGTGCACGTGTGCATGACACCACTTCTCTCCGCACAGCTGACTTCCTCCTCTGCACAGCAATCATGTTAAGTTGCAATGGAACCCAGTGCATGGGAGGTGCAGCCACGTGTGCACACAGGGGCACAGTTGTGTGAGAGAGGTGGAGCCCCTTCCAGCAGGGATGAAAAATAGAGGGTATGTTGACAGTGACCCATTACACTTAAGAAGCTGAGTTCTCATACCTGGCCACAGGCTGTTCATAGTTCTCAAGGTTAAAAGCAACACTCAATTTCTTTTTGAGAATAATTTGGTAGGTAGCTACCAAAGAATGAGATAATCTGGATTCTGGATATTAAAAGCTAATTGCTTTGTTAAATTTCTAAACAATCTTTAATGAAATCCTCACATGAAGTGAACTTCAGTAATATAAACAGTGTAGATAACTGTGCCTTTGTTATATTTTTGCACAAAAAATGGCAGCTTATTAAAGAGGCTGTTTTGTACTTATGATACCTATACTTCCATATGGAAATTTGGAATCACTAGCATCTCAAACTACAGACTGGAGTCTGTAGAGATAATATTACAATGTTAAATGTAAGCTAAATTCCCATATTTGAAATAATTTTATCATCAGCACAATATTGGCCAAAATCCTGTTGCTTAGCATAATAAATTGTACTAGAATAGGCCCATCAAACCAATGGATATTTAGTGAGACAACATATCTGTAAGTCTCACTGATTCAAATGGGGCTGCTCTAACAGTGACTTAAGTGACTTAATATACTTAATATACTAAAGGAAGACACAGAGCAGCCCCATTTGAGTCAATGGAAATTATGAAGGAACAGATTCACCAAGTCCATATTGATCCAGTAGGCATACTTTAGTGCAATTTACTACACTTAGCAACATGATTCTGGCCATTATCTTCCCACTTGTTGGTTTTTGAGACTTTGCTCTTCATGATCTCTTCTGTGACTGCAATGTCTCAATACAAGCTTATGGAGCCAATTAGTCCAAGTTCGATGCTTCCCCTCTCACTCCATTGCCATAGACAGGCCAGCATCCTGCTTGGCGGGAAAACAGCATGCTGTCTGACAAATCAATTATCATGAATGGCTGTGAAACTGGTTGCATGATGGACACCTCAGCAAAAGGGGAACCACTTACGCAATTGCGATTATGCATACTTTTTCCTAACAGGATTCTGGCCACAGGGTTCTGCACAGTTTCAGTGATAACCATAACTTTTTGGTTACATGACATAATCATTCTTAACTTTATTTATTTATTTGATTTGTATCCCGCCCATCTGGACTATATGATATATCAAGGTCTACATGAAACCAAAACAGAGATATAAAAAATGTCATTTGTATCCCGCCCATCTGGTCTATACGATATAGCAAGGTCTACATGAAACCAAAAGAGAGATATACAAAATGTCAAAAAAAAATAGCTACCAAGGGAGCTGTGGAAAGCACCAAACTAGTTTTTGGGGGTTTCCAAAAACATTTTAGGCAAAGGGTGCTTTTTTTTTTTTTTTACACAAAAACAGTTCACAGCACATAAATATTTGGTGTTGGCCCAGAAAAATGAGTACAGAGATGAACACATCTGAATATTCAAATAACAGGCCTATCGTTTCAAACTGAAGCAAGCTGTTTTGAGAAGCAATAAATATATTTGCTGACAGGCGATATAAACCATGCAAGGAGATGAAACTCATGAAGGAAGAGATGATGAAGGACTAGCTCCTCACCTAACACAGCAGTCGGCACAAGTGGATCATTGGGCACTGCAGGAAAACAAAGCTCATGAAATCATGCATCACCTTCAATTGATATATGTCTTATTTAAAGAAACAGACTTCTTAAACATCACTAGGCAATATCTGCAAGTGGAAGAGAGAATATGCATCCCACTATGTTGAAGACAATGCTTGCATTTTACACACAGTAAGTGATGCAGTAAAATGGCCTAATTGGGCTGAATCTGAGCATCTTCTAAGCATTTGCTGCTTGACAGCTACACAGGAACATCTCAGGTAGCCTGCCTATGCAGTTGTCACAGGCTAACTGAACCATTCTGAAGTGATTGCTGCTCTCTGAAATGCAGCACTAGCCTAAATGCATCCTGTTTCTGTTTTTTTTTAAAAAAAACAAAACACAGGGCATAGCTAAAATGTGTATTTGAAAGTACACACAGAAGGTAAAGTGAAGCTGTATTAAATGAAGACATTTTATCAACACATTCCCTGATAAAAGAGACTGAAACATTGTAAGAACTTAAATCAATAGGTAAGCACCTCACTCTTTAGCAGTTATCAGGTATTCTTACTAAATTGTATCTTAGATTGAGGCTCAGTTTGCACAATTTCTATTTACAGATGCTGGCTGAGATTTCCCAAGCCCAACTTGGAAAACAATGTGACAAACCCAGACCTACTGGGATATGTCACACACTTTCACTAAGCTGCCACCAACCATTCCCTATAAGAAGTCACACAGACCAGGGATGGATTTTTTAAACAATAAAGAATAAGGTTTATTTAAATAACAAACAGGGTAAATAAAACAATCAGGTGGTTAAGGTAAAGTAACGTGGCTTATTCTCACTCATACAAGCATACAGTTTGGTTCACCCAGAACCCTTAACTTGAAGCACAGACCCTGAACCTATCAGTTCTGGCTAACCAACAGACACCTGAACCTATCAGGTTGGTACTCTGACACACAGAAGTACCCTGTCTGACACACAGACTCCCACAACAGCTTCTTCTTCCCAGCTGCTGCTTCGTCACAACCCAGTGTCTCTCCGAATCTCCAACCTATCAGGTTGGTACTCTGACACACAGTAGTACCCTGTCTGACACACAGACTCCCACAACAGCTTCTTCTTCCCAGCTGCTGCTTCGTCACAACCCAGTGTCTCTCAGCATCTCCCAGCATCTCCCTTTTCACCACACAGGCTTCACATTTATATACAGTACAGCCCCTCCTCCTGATGTCCCGCCTTCCACTCCCCATAGGATGGAACTTTCCCTCCAAACCCATGACAGACAGGTAGCATCAGTGCTGTATGTAACAAACAAGTCTTCACGGTCTTGTAAGAAGAAATTAGTTGTTAAAAGTCTCTAAATTATTTTCCAAGTTGGACAAGCCTTCTCTGACAAAGACCTAGGGGCAATATAATGGAGTTAAGGCTACTCTATTACATTGTATAGGCCAATTTTAAGAGGCACAGGATCCGTACTGAAGGAAAATGCAACACTTCCCTTGGGAGAACCTGCCGAGTCAAGTAGCTTTCTCCCCTTGTCTTTAAAATTGGCCTCTGGAGATCTTTTTTTTCTCTCTCCACAAGAACTTATTTAGCCATTAGCTCACTCACCAGGTGGGAAAATGATATTACAGGAGATAAATCTCAGAAGGCCGCCATACCTAACTATCCTTCAATAGCATTATGGTAGCTTTCTTCATCCCTCCACTTTGACCCTGTTGGATCTTGGATCTTTCCTCCCACTCACATCTAGTAACCAGATTTTAAGAGAGATTTCCCAAATGGGGGTGCATGTACTTTTTCTGTGCTCTCAAATTAATTTAGAAAACAATTTTGCACCGTGTTGTGTTTGTTGCTCTTGTTAATGAATTCAGGTAATGTTTCAATTAATCTACAGGGAGCTTTTGGGAGCTTCTAGTGCCTTTCAATGCTGTCATTGCAGACATTAATCCCCCCACAAAAATATGGCCACATCCCAGATGAAGTTTTACAGCATATTCTACAACAGTGAGTCTGAGTCACAGAAGGAATTGCTGCTGTCTAATTAATTTATCTGTTTCCCACAGGGGAAAAAAGTACCAGTATGCCATGCCTATGTTTTTCTTCAGAACACAACTGCAATGGCTGCTGTCTTAAATAATATGAAATATCATACCTGAAAAATGATGAAAATAACCAGGCTAGGCAAAAAAGGGGGCAAAAGTTCATGGCCTTGCCATTCCATCCCTTTGCCTTGAGGAGTAATCTGAGGGAAACAAGTGTCTGTGGCCACCTCTAACCAAAAATATTCACTACTAAGAAAAGAATCAGCTAAGAAAAACTCTGTCATTTACTTTGGAGAGCCCTCATCCTGGAAGATCCATTTATTATGTTGTACTTGGAGAGCTATACTCAATGGCTTAGAGCCTGATATACATTAACTGAAAGAAATACACAGAAGGAAAGTTTCCCATCTCTTTCTTCCTGTCCCCTGCAGTCATGTGTATCCCCTCAGCCCCTACCCCACCCCCAAAGCCTCTCTAGACTCACAGTTTATGTATTCCTGATAAAGGAGGGGAGGGAGGCAATTCAAAATTAGGGTTGAATCCTAAGTGAATTTAAGGAATTGTACAGGAATAATGTTTCCCATCTTCCCCCTGCCTCATCACACCTTCCTGAGAGACAGGAGGCAGGTAGCTTCAAATGGGAAAGGGAGCAGGATGTTCCTTCATGAAGATAAAGGTACAGTATTTGCTTTTAGGTGTTGAACTCCACTGGTCAAGAAAAACTCGGGAACTAATGTAACCACTACAGTGTACTGATCTCAGGATCAGCACAGCTTGTTTTTATTCAGCATCATAACTGGATTCAAACATACTATCCGGGACAGGTACAATGAAAGATAAAAAATTGGGTGGAATAAGATTTTGTATCATTCAGATTAGTAAAATTATTTTTAGGCTATAAGCATTTACCGAACACTGTCATAGTTGGTAGGTTTTTGAAACTCATGTGAGTTTTGATTCTTCTTTCTCTTTTTAACAATCTATATGCACTTTCAATTTGCCAGTTATCGGAAGGCATCATTTATTTGTTTTTAACTGCAAAAAGAACAACATTCACAATTGGATTGATAACGCCTTTCTAAGAGCAGCCAAACTGCTTAGAAGTGTAAATGTTTTTGAGTTTTCCAGAAGTCTTCACTGGGCTTTATGGTACCAAAAAAGCAGGAGAAATCACAGTCACAAACCTAATCTTCATTTAGGGCATTCCTGTTTCTTCATTCATTTCAACCTCACTTGAGGAGAAAATGAAAGCCTGAATACTTTTGTGGCATCTGTTGGTCCTAATTGGCCAACAGTGGATTTTAATCCCCTTTGTGGTAAGCATAGTTCTAAAAAGAATTAGTAGATGGATCCATTTGTTAAATATTTATTATTGAAGAAAAAATATAATATATTGTATATTGTATATCAATATAGCAATAAAAAGAAAACATACTATGACCCTACATTTCATAACAAAAGAATTGCAAGTATGGTTGTAACCTGCTGCTTATTTTTTTCACCCAGCTTTTTTGAAAAGCCATATTCAGAAGGGATTTTCTATCTATACATTATACTTTTTACAGTTTTTTAATTTTTTTTATTTTAAGTTTTTAAAGTTTCCAAAACAAATACAAGAATGCAAAATACTTACTAATACAATCGAAAACACAGTGCACCCCCATACCCATAGGACCCTTTGGGGCAATACTTTTATTACAAACTTCCTTTCCAAAATTGTATTGACTGTTGCTTAGAGGCTTTCCCCTTTCCTTTCACTAATACAAATTCAATAAATCTACCCCAAATAGCATAAAATATATTTAAACTTATTTCCTCTTCATCTTAAGTTCAGTAGTCAATTTATCATTTAATGCAATGTCCCAGACTTCACTATACCAAACTTCTAATTTAATATCATTTTATCTTTCCAGAATCTAGCTATTTATATTCTAGCACTTGTCACAAAATTAGTAATCAATTCCTTTGAGCAATAATCTATCTTATTAAAAAAAATGACAGCAAAGCAATTTTAGAATTAAGTTCAATATATTTTCCAAATATTTCACACATTTCCTTAAAAATCAGTTTCCAAAATTTCTGAATCAATTTACACTCCCACCACATATGATAATACGTGGCAATTTCTTCATCACATTTCCAACAGGCCTTAGAATAGTGTTCAATTTCACCAGAGTCATGTTTCATCTTAAACTAATTTAAATTTTTTCCTTTATTCTTACCAACATTAATCTTAAAACTCTCATCTTCCAAATTTCCTCTGTTTTAATTTCTGTCTTTAAATCATGTTCTCAAATTGATTTCAAACCTTCTATTTCAGTCTCTTTTTCCTCTTGTTCCAAAATTAGATTATAAATTCTACTTATTACTCCCTTCCTCAAAGCATCTTTCTGCATGTCTTCATGTGATGATAGAAATTGTTCATACTTAGTACATTCTCTACATGTGCCATTAGTCTTCAACCATTCATTTGTCCAACTATCTAATTGGATATAATTATACGATGATAGTTTATTAGTTTGAAATTTAACTATAATCTGATCCTTCAATCTCATTTTAATCATCCAATCCTTCAATCTGGCAACTTTTTTATCCTTAAACAAATCAACTAAACCCTTCAGGTTTGCTGGGAAATTTTCTATTTCAGTCACTAATTTTAGTGGTGAAAAAAGGGATAGTTTTCATAATTGGACTTTCCCCATGAATACTGGGGGAGGGATAGCAACTATGGAATAAACATTTCTTATTCCATAGTAGTTATACAAAAGGAAAACTCAAGATATTTCACTTTTTTTTTGGTGATTTATAAATGCATGGACCTAATTTCTCTGCATTCTGAGTACCATAAGTAGGACAAATGTAATAGCATTAAGGACCTGTGAAAATTATGAAAACATAGAGTACATGATACCAAATATCACGTACATCAGCTATGTACAGAAATAAGATGCCATGTCAGTCGTAAAATGCCAGGAGCCTGGCTGATCTTAATTCCAGGTGGACCTAGCTTGCATAACCTACGGTATTGTAGGAGGAGGGCTGTAGTTCTGCAACACATGCTGGACCCCAATGTCCCCAATAAAGGCTTATCAGCATTTTCAGCATTGTTGCTGTTATACTTACATCTGGGGCTAAAGTTATGGGAATCCATAAAGGTGACCGAGAGAGGATCCTCTGCATGCAGGGTGCTCTGATCAGCATAACTCCTATCCATTGCATTTACCATATGGGTCATTTCTTGTCTAGTGTTTCCCATTGCGTCCTTGCGTTTCTTGGCAAGTTTGCTGCCCAGCCAAAAAGAAAACAGAAGCAAAAACAGAAATGAAAATCATCATAATTTTACTGTCTGGTAAGCGGAAACATGCAACGGTAGCTAAGCAACCACTATTGAACAAATCTGTCACAATTGTGTCAGAATACCTTTTGATGCTGTGGTATCCACAGCCACTCAAAAGTGAAAATAACTTGTAGTTCCAATGGATGTTTCTCTGGTAATGTTTGGAGAAGAATTTGTAAAGGTTAACATGTGCAACGTTGGGCCTTTTTCCTGCCTAAGAACACTGAAGTCTGGCCCAGGACACACTTACTCAGAAGGAATGGGCAAAAATTCCTATTCAACTCATTCTCAAAAGATGCAGGTTTAGTAGCTGAAGTCTTGGTCTTACAAGTTGCAAATCTGACATTACAAGAATAACTCCAAAATAATAATAA